ATTTATTTATTTATTTATTTTACCTGCTGATTGTTGTTACACATTTGCTCCATGACACATTTCTCTTTGTAAAGTTGTTGGAATCTATCATCTGAGGAGACAAAAATTCTTATTATTCTGGCTTTTATTTTTGATCAAATCTTGAGCTGAAGCTGAAGAATAAAAGTCAACCTGCTTCGCCAACATCGGGAGATAGTTCCATCTGGCAGGACTGCTCCACTGCGAGAATCTCACSTTTGTATCTGGACAACAAGTTCTCCAACTCGGACACTTTACRCTCGAGGGCCTTCACCAGCAGCAGAACACAAAAACCATTTGATTAATAGACACATCTGAAAAGACCCACTGACAGATTCAAAGATGTTTTAAGAGCTTTATACATAAGAAATTGATTTCCATGCTTAACAGTAGCTAGCTGTAGCACTGCCTGCAAGAATTTAATAGAAACCTACTTCTACTTTCTCCTGCTCAGCGGTAAACTCATCCAGCGATACGTAGTTGTCTTCCAGGTCATTCATGGCACACTGGTAGGAGTGCTTTTTGATTGCATCTTTGAACATCTCAAATGTGCTCTCTAGTCTTTCTGTGTGGCGCTCCTTCAGCTCCTCAATCTCTTGACTTCAAAAGATGATCATAAACGTAATTACAGGACAAATCTTATTCCTAAACATAAAAATTAACGTACCTGTGGAGCTCCTCAGTCTCCAGGATCATTTGCTGCCAGGCATCACCCATTTCTTTCCGTATTTCCATTTCCTGCACCAAGTTCTTTTTTCGCTCAGCAATGAGTTTGGTTTGTAGAACCTCTATGATATTCAGCAGCTCCTGGGGAGGGAAGACAACAAGACAACAATGAAGTCCAATTGGGCCTTAAGCTCCTTCAGTTGTCAAGTCTCATTCTGTTCGGTCCATCTCAGGTGTGTGATTGTCCATGTCAGTGTGTCCCTCACTCTGTACACTGCAAAGAAATGTCCACCTAACCAAGTTTTAAAAYYTTMTATCMRSCMAAAARTCTTTTTGATCTYGTTTTGAGACCAATTTACTAATCAAGAACTGATTGTGTAAGAATAATVATCTTGTTTTCAGAATGTGTAAGATTATTTGTCTTGTTAGCTTGAAAAGTTGACTCAAATTAAGTCAAAATGTCTGCCAGTGGAGTTAGAAAATTTTACTTGGTAAGACTTCTTGAAATACTTGATTTGACTCAATTTTTTCCTATTTCAAGAATCTTACCGAGTAAAATTTTCTTACTTCATTGGCAGACAATTTTTTACTTGAGTCAAATTTTCAGACTAAGACGCATCTTACACTTTCTGAAAACACTCTTACACACAGTCAGTTCTTGTTTAGTAAATCAGTCTCAACAAGATCAAAAAGGCTTTTTGGCTGGATATAAGATTTTAAAACTTTGTTAAATGGACAGTTTTTGCAGTGTAGGCGCTCGTCTCCACCTCTTYCCAGGAACAATTCATAGGTGTAGCTCGCCGGCGCTGCCTTGGCTCAGKCAATTCACAGGCAGCAGTGTCCTGATGTCAAAATTGTTTAAACTGGTAATACGAGGTTTCACTCTCCTGGAACCACWACAAGTGTGGCTGGGCCGGAAATGGAGATATGTTTGGCCGAGGCTGAACCAATGAGAACAGCTTAAAAGGCAGTGGAGAAGGAGCTTCAGTGAGGCTGGTGACAAGGCTCATGGTGCGTTCACAC